CAATAACCATTGATAATTTCCTACCACTTTGTCTGTAATTTGGTAAGCCCCTCCTGTTATTATGTTATCCTTCTTTTACTCTTTAAAATAAAAAATTTTTTTTTAAAATTTAAAAAAAAACAAATACACAGCTGGTCATCTCACTTTCTAAGTGACTTCCCCCTTTCCTGGGAATAAATCAAACTCCTGGAGATGGCATTCGAAGCTGAGTGACGACCAAGGCCCTGCCTCCCCCACCAGGCTTGCTTACCTTCTGCCATACATCTCTCAAGCTCTCCTCCTGCCATGCTGGACCGCTGCCTCCCATCTTCGCACAGGCTGTGCCCTCTCCTCTGCCTGAGAAAGCCCTGCTCTCTGCCCTGTGGCTCCCCTTCCTCATGCTCCACACTGCCCCTTATCCACAATGCCCTCCTCCATCGGACCACCCCGAGACTGAAGAGTGAATGAATGAGTCCGTCACTTCTGTAGGGAACATGGTGGTGCTGATCAGGTTCTTGATGAGGAAAACAGGCCCAAAGAGGAAAAGGGAAATCTGTGAGTATGTTTTTGGTATATGAAGACTTTAGTTTTGATACTCATCTTCCAAAGCAAAACCCTTGAACTTCTTATCCTGAGTGAGCTACAGCCAGGCAGGGCACAGCAGGTGTATCAGCCTACAGGATGGACATGTAGCTTGCCCATTAGGGAATTATAATCCAGCAGGTCAGACAGATGCTGGATAATTCAGCAAAATTTTGTGTCAGAGCCGTAGCTCTGTAGCAGGCTCCTCTTTCCAGAGATGGCTACCCCAACATACACCCCGCCCTGTGCTCCCTGTCCGTGGCACTGCCTCCCTCACTTGGACCTGCACAGACTGCCTTTGTAACTACTGTGACCAATAGGAAGTTCTACAAGCACAACTGAGTGGCTTTTGAGACTGTGCCACTTCCCACCAGTCTTTCTCCCCCTCACCCTCTCTGTCTCTCAGGACCTTCTCCTTTGTGACCCAGCCACCAGGTCCCGAGGAAGCCCAGGCCACACAGGGTTGGTTATAGAGACATTGGAGCCGACAGCTCCAGCCAAAGTGTCTGCCAACAGATAGCACTCATGAGTGTAAACGTGCATGTCCTCACATGAGGCCAGTCCTGAGTCTCTGACTGTCCTCCCCAAGTCCCAAGACACCAAGCAGCAGAGAGAAGCCGTCCCCTCTGTCCTATCAGCTTCCCAATCCACAGACTCCAGGAGCATAACCCATGAGTTGGTGCTTACTGCCACTAAATTCTGTAGCAAGCTGTTCTGCAGCCATGGCAACTGAATCCCCTCTTCAGGCTTCCTTGCAGAAAAGAACAATGGGCTTGAGACAAATCAAGTGACACACACTGCCAAATCCGTTATCCCCCGACAGCCATGGCCGTTCACTAGCTGTGAACTTGGGCACATCATTTCCTAATCTCCCCCCATGTATAAACTGAAGGGATGAGGCTGGGTGATTTCTAAGGCCCTGAGAAGCTTGAGGATCCTACCAACACTTCACCGGATGAATCATCCAATTAGAAACACGTCAATTGATATGGCAAGAGGTGAACTTTTTAATTGAAATACTTGATTTTTTTCCCAGTCCTTCTAGGAGGTGAACTCAGCTAAAGCCATTAGGAAGGCAAAGAGGCGCCTCTAATGCATAATTCATGAAGGAAGAGTGGGTTTGACCCAGCAGGTCATTTGGAATAAAAATGCCATAAAAATAAAATCTGTTGCCCACCCCCCGCCTCCCCTATCCCTTCCACCAGCTAATGGAGGGGAAAGAGTGAATTAAACTGGAGTTCAGGTCAAAGGTTCCGGTGATGCGTTCCACAGTGGTCATTCCCTCCAGCTGCTCCAGTGACGTGGGCAGTACAGATGTTTGGGCACTTCTGTCCCCACCCTTGGGTCCCATGTCCTGAGTGATAAGGCCTCTCTTCCTTCGCTGGGGGGATGACCTCACCCTCTAATGGCCTCCCAATTAGGAGGCCTTCAGCCTGGCCAGAAGACACCCTGTCTACTTCCAAAGCAGGGGTAAAACTCCCCAAGGGGCCAACCTGTTTCCTGGAGGCAGAGGGAAAACAGCAGACAGCCTGTAATTAGTATAATAACCTGTTCAGCTTCCACCTGCCTGTGATTTCCCCAGCTTGTTCAGCCATTCACATATTCACTCACTCAGGCAACAAATATTTACTGAGCAGCTGTGATGTGCAAGCCCTGGTGATACGACAGGTCCCACGGAAGGAGCTAACGATTTGTGTGCAAGCGATTAATTAAGGAAGTGCTCCCTAGGGGGTCTGACAGGCAGTTGGGGAAGCGGGAAGGAAGGACGCCAAGAGAAGGTGGATTTCCAGTGCAGGCCAGGCTCA